CACCATCAAGGCAATTAGCATCTGGACAATTCCAGTCATTAGATACATAGTATCAAATTCCTATATCTGGAATAATGGACAGGACTCAAGCAAAACTAAAAGTCTTTGTTAGGAAGATAAGAAAAACAATGACAATAAATCATACCCTTCATCTACACAGCAATATTGACAAACTCTACTTACCATGGAAAATAGGTGGGCTGGAATGTTACAAGTGCACCACACAGTTGGAGAAGAAAAAGGGCATTAGAAGGATATCTAAAGAACAGTGAGGAAGATGCAGTGAAACAAGTATGATGGCTTATTGAGTATTGCAGAGACTGAACTGGCCTATAAAAAAGACCAAATGAAGAACAGAAAAGAGACATGGCAAGACAAAGTATTACATGGCCAGTACATAAAAAGTAGCAGGCAAAGCAGATAATAACGAGCCCTAGCAATACTCAGAGCAGGAAAGTTGAAGAAAGAGACAAAAGGGCCGAATCTGGATGCCTAAGACATGCCTTAAGAATAGATGCACACAAAGCCAAAACTGAGAAGATAGTAATAGGGAGCAAATGCTGTCTCTGCAAAAAAGCTGAAGAACCAGTGGATCACCTAGTTAGCTGCTGCAAGATCACATAGACAGACTACAAACAATGACGTGACAAATAGCAAAGGTGCATTGAAATATCTGCAAGAAATATTAACTTCTAGTAAGTTAGTGCTAGATTAGAGTTGTACAATGATGCAGCTCAACAGAAGCAAAACTCTCACACACGAGAAGAAAACAAATGTGACACCTTCAAACCAAACTTTTAAACTTTAGTCACTCTCCTGGCCAAATACAGTAAAACATTTTAAACAATACATGTTAATGTGGAATATAACCAGTGGTGGGATTCAGCCAGTTCGCACCACTTCGGCAGAATCGGTAGCTAACTTTGTGTTGCCCAGGCCCTGAATAGACTTCTGGAAGCGGTATCCACACAGAGAACTGGTTGTTCACATATTTGAATCCCACCATTGAATATAACAGATCAGGACAATTACAAAAAGAATTACTGAAGTTAAGTATGGCAGTGAAAGAGTTATAGGAAGCTAGGGGAAAAAAACTCTCTTCCACTGGTGCCCTAAACACAGGCTTAATGATTAACTCAGGGCTGCTCTTAGAACCAGCATGTACCATTTTCAATAGATGTAGTCCTCAACTTACAACCATTCGTTTAGTGACTGTCCAAAGTTACAATGGCACTGAAAAAGTGACTTATGACCATTTGTCATTCTTATGACTGTTGCAGCATCTCCATGGTCACGTGATCAAAATTCAGACGCTTGGCAACTGACTCAAATTTATGATGATTGCAGTGTCTTGGGGTTATCTGATCACCTTTTGTGACCTTCTGACAAGCAAAGTCAGTGGGAAAGCCACCTTCACTTAAGAACCATGCTAATAACTTCACAATTGCAGTGATTCACTTAACAACGATGTCATGAAAGGTCATGGGGCAAAATTCACTTAACAACTGTCTCACTTAGCAACATACATTTTGGTTTCAATTTGGTTGTAAGTCAAGGACTTACGTGTAGCTCAGGATTGAAATCCTGAGATCTTGGTGTTTGCTAAGCTCCGATTGCAAACGTTTCAAAATCAAACTAGGTAGCATTGTCATTGCTTAAGGAAGTAGAGTTTGCTGGCTTTTTATGGGTGACAGCTTGCCCTTCTTGTAGTTTATATGCCTGTTTCTGATCAATCCACTTGGTTTGGCTGGCTGTATTGTTTCAGTGTAGATTATTTCCACTTTTTGTGTTGGTTAATGCTTATCACCCTATTGATTGCTGGGCTTGTGATAAGAGAGAATGTGCTTCCTGATGTTTGTTTTGAACTTTGAGTCTTTGCTTTTTGGAATAATTTTTAAACTACTCTCTATTTCTGCAATATGTCTCTATTAATGATTGATCCATAAGAATGCCAGGCTTATAGGAAATCTTTAGTATTTTTTGAATTCGGCTTGATCTAAAATGACTACAGTTTCCCACTTGAATTTGTGGTTATATTTGTGTTATTATATTGCCAAGTTAAAGAATTTTCACCATAAATCCTGAGAGCCTGCTGGTATTCAGGGGCACATGCTGCTAATCCTCTGCCTGTTTGTCCTATTTAGTAGCTTTCATAGTCCTTGCATTATAAATTTTAAATAAATCCTCTTCGGCCTTCTTTAATCGTTGGAACTTTGGGTTGGCTTAAGATGCTTTGGAAGTATTTTGTTTCTGTGTGGCCTACCATGATATGTTGCAGTTGAACTAACTTGCTGCGGTTTGAGATGACCTTGATATATGGTTACCCAGCAATTAATATGTAGATAAGCAAAAACCAAATACAATAGGCAGGAACAATCTAGGATAAATTTATAAAGCCAAACTAAGGCAAGTAGGCCAATCAGAAATAGACACAAAAACTACAGACAAAACTGATTGAAGCATAAATTACACAAGGTAGCACAAATTGCCACACATAAAAAGGCAGCAAACACACTCCTTTAAGTCAAAGCATTAAAGGTGTTACTTCATTTGCAAGCATAAAACCAAGTTCGCCATGCACAAGTTCCTGACAGGAACCATTTCCTCATCCCTTTCAGAATGTCAAAAGTGCAAGCGAAAGTATTTTTTCCTGAACTCCAACTTTCAGCTGTATTAAGCTCTAAGTATGTATATGTATGTAGAGTGTAATCTAAGGTCAACATGTGTGCATTATTCTAATTCTACCTCTGCCCACTCTTCCTAATTCTAACATTAAGAAGGGGATTACAGATATTAGTGGCAAGATTTCAACCTTCTCTGGATCATTCTGCTGACTCATATTTGGCCTTGATCTACTTGGTGCTTATGACAAGCAAAACCTTTGATCGTCTTTCCCGTCATTTTCAACCCCACTGAAATCTTCCTGTGATGAACAAATAACAAACTGTGCCAAGCCTTTTTCCCCTTCAGCACTCTTCCTTGGACTGTGCCCTCAAATGCTTTGAACCACTCACGAACACTGCTTAATGCATTTTAGGATCACTAGCCATGTTTTCCTTGAAATGAAACCAACATCCATCTTCAACAGCCACTGGAGCCATCTAAGTCCAAGTTAGCCATTTTAGCTCCCAGGCATCACCTCAATTTTCAAGTTTTCTCCTTCTCACAGTCCTCCTTGGATTTAAAATCCTCCTCCTTTACTACTTGATATCTGCTCTTTCTCTTATGAGAACAATTTCCTTTCAGAATCCTCATACCTACTTTCAGCAAGGATTTTTAACAAACATTTGACAAGTTAGGTATTTTACGAGGTACTTGTTTCCACATCATACATTTCTTTTGTTTCTTTCAATATTTCCATATAGCTTCCATAACAAGATCCACTTCCTACTTTATCGCATTTGCAAATGATTGCCTTAAGCTAAGTTTCTTTTATCTTGGCTATGATAACATACAGAGTCCCCTGATTTGCTGAGAGTACATCACACCACCAGAGGTTTGTCTTTTGATCTGAACTACTGAGTGAGAGACAATGCATAGTGTGCCTCTGATACTCACTGTGTGTTTTTGAGTGTGCAAATATTTTAAATTATCCTGTTCTTAGGATCTCTCTCAGGCATTTTGAAAGAAAAAGCAAGGTCAAATTATCTGTTATGGAGTCCATTCATAATTCTTCTAATATGATCAACAGTAATAGAGCTGGAAGGGGAGATGTTTGAATAAAGCTGTTTTAAATATCTTGGAAAGATGTCCAATAATCTGCAAGAATGAAGGCTCTCATTCTTTAATTTCAAATTAAACCAATACAATATCCAGAATGGCTGGAATTTCATAAATCTAACATTTGTTAGATTTATTTCCAACTTTTTCTGCAGGAGTTGACTTAGAAGGGATCTTATTTCATCCCATAATTCCATATTGTAGGTTGGGCTGAGAGGTTAGTCAGTACATTTCCATGGTTGACAATGGACTTGAATCTGGACCTTCCCAATTCAGGTCCAAACATTTGGAATATTTGATGGTGCACGTAGCCTGAGAAAGTTGTCAACCTTTAAGTATGTGGGATAGGTGCCTTTTCCTTGAATCTGCTTAATCTTTTATGGCCCCTAAGGCAATGGCTACCATCACATCATGTGGCAAATGAATTTTATATCTATCCATGCATCACGTGTTAGTGGATTAAAAATTTCCAAATGGTGCAAAGATGAAGAACATCCATGGACAAATATATTTAATATGCAACCTGAGCAGATTAGGACATGGCTGCAGCTATTCACATGTTGATCATATAAGAATTAGACTACTACACATTGACTTGTAATTGGTATTATTTTAACTCTGCTTTTAAACTATCTTTTTCAAGTAACAGGTTTTTCTTCACAGTTCACTTCTTTAACAATCTTCTTTGGTGGAAAAATGAGACCTAAAGCAAATAAATTATTAAAAGTACAGGTAGTCCTTGACTAGAGTTTATTTAGTGATTGTTCAAAGTTACAACGGCACTGAAAATAGTGAATTATGGCCATTTTTCACACTTACAACTGTTACAGTATCCCCATGGTCATGCAATCAATATTCATATTTATGACGGTTGCTGTGTCCCAGGGTCATGTGATCACCTTTTGCAACCTTCTGACAAAGTCAGTAGGGAAGCTAATTTCACTTAATTGTGTTACTAACAACTGCAGTGATTCACTTAACAACTGTGGCAAGAAAGGTAATAAAATGGGTCAAAACTCACTTAATAGCATCAAAAATGTTGGGCTCAATTGTGGTTGTAAGTTGAGGACTACCTGTATTGTCAATCAATGTGATCCAATTAAAAAAGAATTTTAGCAAGCAGAAATGTTGAAAATACAGGAGGAACAGGAAAACAGGAAAGTAAAATGCTAACCAAATGGAATATAAAGTATAGTTTTCATAAGCGTTTTCATAGCATGAGGATCAAATTAAATGTGAGCACAAAATATGCTGTCACATTTTTATAATTATAAGCTTACAAATAGCAACAAAGGAACAAGCCTCATTGCTCATACTATTTTCTTGCCGAGTGTCATCTTGGAATGGTGTTTGAGCAAACTTTGTGTGGAGGCGAGGGTTAAGCTTTCTTCCTCCTACTAAAGGCAGGTAGTAACAGTAGCAGCTCTTGCTATTTTCATCATTCCGTAAGACTGGAATGTAAGACTGGATCCCTAAGACTGGAATGTAATAAACACATATTTCTCATGCTATTTGGTTTAACTCTTGGTGAACTTCCAATTCTAAAAATTTCATAGCAAAACCGTAATAAAAACCATAGCATAAACTAAAAGAAATAAAGAACCAAGAACCAAGAAGGAAAAGATGAAGTTTGAATAAATATTTAAGGAATAGACAATTTTTGCTAACTGAAGTGGAGATCGTGCTACATTAAAAGTGTGAAATTTACACAATAATTACATACTTTACAGTGATATAGTGTACATCATTGTATACAGTAGTGCATATAATAATGTCCTTTTTAGTATATAAATAAAAAGAGTTATCCACAGGGAGGGGACAAAACTAAGATGGTACCACAGGTGGGACTATGCAAGCAAAAAGTAAACTCTTCTGATACCCACCACCCCAAATCCTTTTTCCCCCCTGGATAGTCCTGTCAGTAACTCTAAACTGTTTTGATATCAAGAAAACAACTGTGATGTAATATTTAAGATATGGAAATGGGACTGGGAAAACAAAATAGTCTTTATCCAGTCATTGTTCACTGGGTTACCTTGAACCTGGCACTCTCTCACGCAGTGTGAATGTGAAGATAAAATAAGGGGATTCTCCAAGATGTGTTACCTTAAGCTTGCAAAGGAAAGTGGAATGAACATATAATTTTTATCTGTCAATCAAATGTATAGCCTCCAGAGATCATGCATTTCTTAAGTCTAAAACCCCAAATTAGGAAAAAAAAACAGATCCAGAAAGATATATCTCTTTCTCTGAGGTGCTAAGAAATTCTAATGGGATAGCTGTATCTCTTCTTACAACCTGTTTCTATGTTTATTTTGTTGTTGTTCGGTCGCTAAGTTGTGATCGACTCTTCACAACATCATGGACCATAGGCTATGTTTTTTCCCCCCACACTCCTAAAATAGGGGCAGAAGTGAGAATGATATGGCATCTTCTCTTGGTATAAATTTATCCCTTTTGTACAGATGGAGTTTCTACCTGTGCTTGAGTTTAGCAATTACTCAATACATATGGAATATTACTGTTGAAGCAGGAAACCAGTTTTCAGTACAACGATGTTGTGACATCCACAAAGCATGGGGTGGGGGAGAGAAGGAAATGCTTAGCAATGTTGTGGTCACATTGTTGTTGCTCCAGGTTACCTTCATTAGATCACTTTGCTATGAAACAGAGCTCAAAAAGCAAGAAAATGAGCAGGGGGATTTTCATTGGGAGGAAAGATAAATGAAGGAGGGACTTGAGAGAAGACAATGGTTGTTGAGAACATTATGTATTGTTAATCTTCTTGGACCTTCTCAAAACCCCGTCACACTTCTGGAACTTTGTCCACACTTCAGTATAAGTTGAAACAGAGTTCCAGCAGCATCTAATAGCAAATAATAACCATCCCAACCATGTTTCTTCAAATATTTAAGGTTGCAAACCCTGAAAATATACAATTCACATTTAAATAGAATACCCATAGAACCAGCTCACAGATGTTCTCTAAGCGTAGAAAAGCTTTTGCCAAGCATAAAATCAACCATAAACCCAGACACATTACTCACCTTCTCCATGACTTTTCCTAAATTTTTGCAGGTCAACTCTTGGAGGCCTATTAGGCTTCTGTGGGGCTGGTCCCAATGTCATTGCAGAAGGTAGTGTTTTTCGTCTGGGCAAATTTTTGTCTTTGTCTTTTTCTTCTTTTCCAGTATTATTGGCCCAAGGCCCTGTCGTAACTGTTCGAGATGAATTGATCAATTTAGCAGCAATGGTACCAGAAGTAGATCCAGAATCCTCTTGTTTGTTCTGCTGGAAAATATTCCTGTTGGGTTTGGGTTTTGCCTCTTCATTCTGCTGTCCAACAGGTTTAGGGGGGATTTGAGGCAGGTTGTTCTGGTTGCTGACAGGTTTCAAAGGTGGGAAAGGGCTAATGGGATTGTTTTCATTTCTGTTCTTGTCCTGGGGGTCTTTGAAGGGTCCGATGGAACCAGCTTTCAACTTGAGACCGATGGAACTTGGTGACGCCTGATTGAAACAAGCACTTTTGTTGGAAACTTCTTCACCTTGGATGAAACTTTGACCTGGTTTTTGCTTAGGAGGTGGTTTTGGAAAAGGAGGCCTGGAGTTGTTTTCCTGAGCAGCAGTGTTGAATTTTTCTTTAACTCCAGCAACCGTGGGAAAGACTGGCTTTGCCTCACTTCCTTGGGGTTCAGGTTTGAACAATCTCTGATCTAAAGGTTTTGGTTCACGTTTCTGAGGAGGAGAGCCAGGTAGCCTCTTCTCAGGAATCTTTGGGAACACTGGCTTGGTTTCTTCTCTTAATCCTTCAGAAATCTTGGGAACCAAAGGCTTTGGATACATAGTTTTTTCATTAGCTTCTCGGCTAGCAGCCTCAGCTAGCATCTTCACCTTGCTGGCCACAGGACTGTTTTTCAGAGGTGGTGCTTTTAAATCCTTGCCTGATGCATCATGAAGAGGTTTTGTGCTGGGAGGCAATTTAAGCGATGAAGGCTTGTACAAGTTGTTGGGTTTGGAAGATAGACCAGCATTTTCAAGCTGGGCAAACTTCTCAAATGCTGCTTTTTTAGCCAAAGGAGGGTGTCCTCCAGTTCTGACCTGATGGCAATGAACATCCTCAGCTGCGTTGTTATTAAACTTCGCCATAATGGACTTCACATTTGCCTTGCCATCCTGCAAAGTAGAAAGAAAGCAGAATCAGGACGGTTCTTTTGCAGCAGTGTTCACAAATGCTGTAGCTAATTTGAAGGCTTTCCTGGTTTGAAGCTTCTGATCTCCGGTTAGAGATAACTCAGTGTTTAGCTTCCTGTATGGCTAACAACGTTCAACTTTTTGCTACAGACTTGTGGTGATAGAGTATTTCAAGACGTTGATTGCAGACAAGTGCCGTTTTGCTGACTAGATCTTTCCTTGCCTTGCCTACCATAATCTCTCTCTCTTCCTGTTATATTTGCGGAACATGCTATTGATGGTTACGTTCTGAAATATTTGCACCACTCTTTAGGCTGAAGCCAAGACATT